AGCCATCTTGACGCGAAATCATAAAGGTCACGCCCTATGCCCGAGGCGAAGAGGACGTGAGCCATGAACAGAAACAGCGGAATAGTGCCAATGGCTTCATTGGTGGCAAGGTCGTAGGCGGTGACGCCGATCCGCACGATCGCCGCGTCGAAACTGATGATGACGGCAAAGCCGGTGAAGCCCACCAGCCCCATGGCAAAGCCGATCGGCATACCCAGCGCGATGAACGAAAAGAGAATGCCAAGGCCCAGAAAGCCTATGGTGACTGCCGTCATTGCGTATAGTCCCCACCGTGTGGATGCTCTTCGACCTCGCGTCCACTCAACAGCTTGACGCCTTGAAAAACCAGGACGATGCAGAGCAGGATGATGGCCGTGGCCATGGCCCAGCGGAACGGAGCGACAGGCACGTTGATGATCGGCGAGAGTTCGCCCTGAGCGCCCCGGCGGATGGCTTCCTTGATCGTCGCCCAGCCGATCGCCACCCAGAACAGCGTGCCCAGCAGCGTCATGATGCCATCGAGCCCGCGCCGGATACGGTCGTTTTTGATGCGGTCCACGAACAGGGTTACGCGGGTGTGCTCATTTTGCATGGCTGCGTAGGCAAGCGAGAAGCTGACGGCCGGAATGAGCAGCAGTTCGGCCAGCGAATAGGTGCCCGGAAAGGCGATACCGATGGCGCGGAAGACAACGGTGACCACCGTCAGCATCATCAGGGCCAGAATGGCGGCGACCCCGACAAAGGCGGCCAGCGCGCACACCCGGCGCAGAAGGGTTTCAAACGAGGTCATGGGTGCCTCTCACAGAGCGTGGATTTGCCGCGCACCCCTCGGCGCGCGGCAAAACTATGTTCTACTCGGCGTGGGCCGTGCGAACCTTGTCGAGAATCTCGGTTCCCGGCAGGCCATTGGCATCCATTTGCTCGGCGGTCTGCTGCGCGGTCGCGGCAAAGGCGTCGGAATATTCGGATATGACGGCTTCATCGACGGCGTTGAACTCGACGCCCATTTCCTCGCCATAGGCCCGGCCCTCGTCCTCGGCGGCCTGCGACAGCTCGTAATTGGTCTGAGTCCAGAAATCGATATTGTCCTCGAAGACCTGCTGGATATCTTCTGGCAGGCTGGCCCAGACGTCCCCGTTCATCGCACGCGACGGATAGGCGCCGCGGCTGTGGGGGAGTTCGGAATAGTAGCCGATCACTTCGGCAAAGC